GCACATGGCACAGGGTGGCATCCAGGTGGGTTTGGAAGATCTCCAGAGAAGGAAACTCCACAGCCTCTCTTGGCAGTCTGTTCCAGGGCTCTGTCACCCTCACACTAAAGAATATGTAGGAGTGCATGTTGTCTTTATTAAGTGCTACTTTTTGGATCAAGTAGTATATGAAGAATATGTGGCTTTTGTTGGGAAATAAAAAGAAGCCAGAGTCTTACAGTCCTAGTCTACAGAGTCTACAGTCCTACATCATGCCTAATAATGAGCAGTTTCAGGGCTTTCAGGCAAAGGTAAGATGCATAAAATAATCGTAGGAATGTGCCCTGGCCTGCTAGTTCTGCCAAGGAGAAAGATTTGGAGCTGTTACGAAATCTTGTGAGAGAAATGAAAAGAACACAAAATATATTTTTAAAGCTACTGTTGATTAAGGAGTTAATCTAATTTCTGATATGTTTGTTTAACCATCCTGAGCTTGCAATAGACCCATATTTGAACAATCTGCTGGTATGATGACACTAAACTTGGAAAACGTACAGCACACAGAAGTCATAAAATAAAGATGAGGTTTGTTGGGCAATTCTGTGTCACCCACATCAAATTCGATGAAAACACAGACTCTGCTTGATACAAGTGAATTACGACTTTTGCCTTGAGAAAATTCAGAAATACTTCTAGTTCAAAAACATTAGTGGTTATCAGTCTACCCGTTAAAAGATATTATTAACAATTCATATTTTAGGGTATTTAAAATATACCCACACTATCAGTATGGCAAGGTGCCATACAAGGAGGAGCTGAGAAAGTAACAAATATTACCAGGGCCTGAGGTCCTATGAAAGAATGAACACCAACATAAAGGAAATTATTCACGGATATTTGTATCAGAGTAGCTTAAAAATATATATATAACAAAGAACAAAGCATGATAAGGGTGATAAGGATGCTCTTTAAGGTGAAATGCTTCCTGATGGGAGCAGCCTACCCCGCAAGGGCACCGCACCTTCGCACCCCCATCGCCCTCCCCGCGCCTCCACCTGCCCCGCGTGGCCTCGGCGGCTGCGGGG